TTTCTAATGGTGGTGTGCCTCGTGATTTTTTTCATGAAAAAAGTGTGCCTTTGCACAAAAAAGGTTGAAAAACACTGGACTAGAAGACCTCCAAGTTCCCTTCCAACTCTGCTATTGTATTATTACTGAGTAGTTCTAAATCAGAGGTGGGCAATTATTTTTCCCAAGGGGCTGCATGAGAAACTGGGATTGTTATGGAGGGCTTACACTGCCCCCCCTCCTGGCTCTGCCCCCAGCAATGCCACCGCTGTACCTGACCTCTGCTGCCAACTCTGCTGATGGCCCCACCCAAACCGCCAATACCGTGAGCTGGATTGGGACCATCCACAGTCCAGATATGTCCCAGGATCCAAGATATGTCAGGGTTCCAAATAACACCCCCAACGAAAGAAGACTCCGAGGCTTGCTAACTTCCTCAAAGTTCCATTTTATTAGAGATGTCATATTGGCAAATCTGGGAAAACCTGAATCTGAAAGCTTCCAAGTTTTCCCCACCTAAAGGAAAATCCAAGCCCCTCCCCAGCACCCACATGTCCATCACATGGCCCAATGAGGTGCCATCACCACTGGGGATGCCTCCCAGTCACGCCACTCCAGGTGTAGGGCAGGACGTCCTTGACCCTCTGAGAAAGGAATTTCATTTTGACTATATCTATCCCACTTATATGATTTCCCCCCTCCCAATTTATGGCAGGTGGAAAGGCCCAATTGGGCGGCCCAATGTAAAAGATGGCTTCCAGGTCTGATACAGATGCTATAAAATGCCTAGGCCAGTTCTAAACATACTGTAGGAGATGACTAGGCTGAGCTGAAGGGAGGAGTCAAACACATCATAAGTCTCAAGTCCCTGCGCACCCACAAGAAATTTAAATGCAGCCCATCTTGAATGCCTTTCTTATCTCCCACTCATTCCCCTTGATTGTTAGTTGGTCAGATTCTTATAGCAAGCTTAATTCTTAACACTCATTTGCAGTGCCTGAAACTCTTGATTTCCCGTTTCCCCGCTGAACGTGTATAATCTTCCAACAACTGTTCAAGATAGCCCCAATCCTAAACAACCATTTAACATGCAAGTAGTTAACTTTAAAGACATACGTGTTATCAGGTCAAATGATTTCTTGTCTTCGGCGTTTGGTTTCACTTGGCATGTAAGCAGATTTAATTTAGCAGGTTGCCTGTTTGACTTAAGCATAAGAAAAACACAATTTCAGTTTGCTTGACGTTTGCTTCGTTAGATTTTTAATTGAAAGATCATTCCCGCACAGACGCTGTATTTTTCCCCCCTTGTCCATTACTAAATGTGTTGACATTTTCAACTACATCAATAGGCCTTGGTGGCTAATAAGGGTGCATTAACAGAAATAAACACTTTCATCTTATCTGCAAGTCATTACTGAGAAATGTTAGAATGTTTGGGAGACTGAAATTGATTTTTTTCATGAGATGGCCTGGAGGCATATTAATTTTCTTTTCTTCTGTTCAACGGCGTCTGATTCTTAGCGATTGTCTGGATAGATTTTTCTGTAATTTTCTTGAGAAAGTTTTTCTGAAGTGGTTTGCCATTGTGTCTTTTCTAGGGCTCAGAGAGACTAGCTTTGTGCCTAAGGTGGGACTAGAATTCCCCGTCTCCTGGTCCAAAGTCACCCAGCAGGCTTTCCAGCCTAAGGTGGGACTAGAATTCCCCGTCTCCTGGTCCAAAGTCACCCAGCAGGCTTTCAAGCCTAAGGTGGGACTAGAATTCCCTGTCTCCTGGTGATTGGTCCAAAGTCACCCAGCAGGCTTTCAAGCCTAAGGTGGGACTAGAATTCCCTGTCTCCTGGCGATTGGTCCAAACTCACTGACCTGGCTTTCATGGCTAAGGTGGGACTAGAATTCCCCGTCTCCTGGTCCAAAGTCACTCAGCAGGCTTTCAAGCCTAAGGTGGGACTAGAATTCCCTGTCTCCTGGTGATTGGTCCAAAGTCACCCAGCAGGCTTTCAAGCCTAAGGTGGGACTAGAATTCTCAGTCTCCTGGCGATTGGTCCAAACTCACTGACCTGGCTTTCATGGCTAAGGTGGGACTAGAATTCCCCGTCTCCTGGTGATTGGTCCAAAGTCACCCAGCAGGCTTTCAAGCCTAAGGT